AAAAAGCGGATGACGATCGCGATATAGATTGTACATGAAATGTGAGGTAATGTCTCCGTTCGAATAAGTAATAACTGCCTCGTTATATATACATCTTGATTAATATGCAATACACACCTCTTAACGGTGTTGTGCTCTAGAGCGCGCCGAGTTTACTATTACTAATTATATTAGCCAGGATGATCCCACATCGGATTTCTCCACGAGTTCAGTTACACATACACACAGCCATGGAATAAATACTTTTATCATACTACAGAAAAGCATTTATTGTGTGGCGCTTATAATGCTTATAGATTTTATTTTAGCATACTAAATAATAGCATCTTTTCAAAGATGAAAGTACGTTACTCTTTCTTTATATCCGATACAGAAGAATACAAAGAGAAATGTTCTGACTATGTAACGAAGAAGCAGTTTTATGCATTATTTCAAAATCTCTCGCATATAAAGAGTTCTTTTGCTGCTTTTTTTTTTAAATATATATAAATTTTAATACTTTTATTGCGTGCTTTGCACCAATTTTAATCTGATCAATCGCCATTCACAGCAATGCGGCAACATTTTCCTAAAATCGATAATTATCAAAAACTTTGGTTTAATATTACTAATATTGAAATAAATGCTGCATAACGATTCCAACTTTAACGAGGGTCTGTTAATTCCTTGCACTATACACATTTATATACGTAACATACATACTTTATATATGTATATATCTCTCTCCTCGGAACTGGAAGAACTTTAACAGCGATATGATGTCTCTGTTGCTTGTAATGCATTGTTAACTTTACAAGCTGGTAATTATTATTCTAATGAAAAGTTCTTTCAATTCGTTAGTAGAATCTTTACTACTTTGAATTTTGGGCATACAAAACGTTACTCGACGCACAAAGTAAATCGTCGGTTATAGTGAGCAAACTACTGCAAAATGTTATGGTTGCTATTGCTGATAAATTTGTTATGTAATTTACAATAACCTTTGTGCTTCGTAACGTAACGAGAATCATATAACGACTATACAAGATTTTTGACTATAATATCGAAGGAAGGTACACTTTGTGAATTCTATTGGGAGAAAGACATTAGGAAAATATCTGTAAAGGATAAAATAAGTCATACTATGACGCGATAAGTTTCACCTCGCCCATAGATGATTTTCTCTCTTTCTTTCTCTCTTTGTCTCATAAAGAATATATGACGTTGCTTTCCCGTTAATATCTCTATGTGCTTGCCCACGATAAGCTTGCAACACGCGCACGAGACAGTATCGGTAAAGAACGCTTATTTTTCTAAAACCAGTCTTACGATTAGCTAGTTAAGCTTTCGGAAGCATATATTTTTCTAACGACTAAAAAGTTGTGCAGAACACGTCACCCGACATTTGTACGTCAATTGTCTCGATAAGTAATTTATGTAATACTTACTAAAATTACAATGTTGTAGAAGATTTCGTTTTTATCCTGAACGATATTGCATGAATTTCTCCTAAAACTGATATGTAATTTAAGAAATATTACAGATATACAAATGTCACACATGGGAGACTTGCTCTGTATAGATCGCCAGTGCTACATTTCACTAATATTTCGTTTGCTCTAACTGCTGCGCATTTTTATAAATAGAAAAGAAATGAAAACAAATACAATGAATTATAAAGGTTTGTCGTATTTGCTCTCATTCACAATAGTGTTTTTTTAGCTAGTCCCGTATTTGCCGCTCTCAAACATACCACGTCTGAAGAACGGATTGAACTCTAACAAGGATTGCTTATCTATGTTGCTGAGATTGCCATTATATTTATATAAGGGCTCGCAGTGCGGCAGTTCCGAACAAACTTGAATCAATCGGCGAAGATATTCCTCGAGGCGTTTTCGACGTTGCCTCGCTACGACCTCGTACTTTGGAAAGACCTGACGTGGAGGAAAGCGTATTGCCGCGACCTGTGTGTATGATCAAAGCAAAGACTCGTAAGATCGATTATATTGCGAGTATATATAATTCACGATTATGAAAATAGCCCAAATCACAGGAATCTTTCTCCTTATGAAATAATTAGATGTTTCTACAACTTTTTTGCCGTTTTTTTAATAACGTATTTTTAAACAAGATTTTTTTTTCGTTATATGCTCACATCTATTAATTTCTTCTCTCTTTCTCTCTCTTTGTATAATGGTCAAACTTTATTTGCAATTAAAAATAATTTCCAATGTAGAATAGACAAGCCATATTCAAACCTATTATCTTACATGATTGACTCAATGCTCCTGTATTTGTGTTTTTTGCCACTTTTATAATCTATTACGTTATATAGTCTATTACTATCTATTACGTATAAGCTATTATGTTGCATGGTATAATTGAGCGATAACCTACCTTACTACCATACTTTTGTCGCATCGATGTATATAATTCCCGGAATCTCCTGTATCTACGCAGCAGTGTCCAACTATCGTCCTGCGCCACGACTCGTACTTCGTATTCGTAATGGCTGGATGCGCCAGCACCGCGTATCACGTACGATGGTACGCTGACGATCATATTAATCACGCTGTCGCAGTCGCTGTCGTTCGCTATTAACGATGGCAGAGATCTCGTGATTGTCAGGGAATACGGACTACACAAGCGATCACCGCGATTTTGACTCTGCGCAAGAAATAAGTCAATCAGTTGAAATCATTCAAGAAGAGAGAGAGACGAGATGAGGGTAACTTACCGTCAAATAAACGGTTGAATAACCTCGACACGAGGATCTTTTAGATGCTAACGATTCCGATAAAGTCTCTTGATCAGTGTTAGTATTAGGCCTGTTATTCCTGAAAAGTTGAGATCTGGTTTGCGCTACCGTTAATAGAATGGCGGAGCTATTATTTGTAGGTTCTACAACACTACAGTAAGCACTTGATTCATTTTGTACATAGTCCTCATTGATGACGAGCCTATTATCGCCGCCGCCGCCGCCGCTGCTGTTGTCGCATTGGAGTTGCCCGGTGGAATGATTTTTCCGTTCGTCCTCCAACAGCGACACTTCCAGTTCGATCTGCCGCCTCTGCAAATCCTGTAGTATTATTATCTGCCGATTGAGATCCTCTTTCGACGAGGTGCCGGCGTCCAAACATCTCATCACCATCATCCGCTGACGCGCGATTCTTTGGTTGAGTCTCTTCATCGCTGGATTTTGCTGTATCGGGGATTCTAGCGAATCCTGAAGCATATTCTCCGAAATAACTGACACCATAAGCGGTTTTCTATCCTCGTCGCTCGTCGATTCCATGGTTTTATTACTGATGTTCATTATATTTTTACTCTCTACTTCGGATGAGTTTGTATCATCATGCGTTAAGTGATCGTTTCGTTCGCAGCTTTCTTCCCGTTCCTCGAAATTTGCAGATTCGTTCTTCGCGATATTGCTCATCTGTGTCGAATCGGCATCTTCGAAGGCTATGCAAAGTTCCGGGGAGTCAGCCGCCGCCGTATGAAACGTTTCCACGGTATCGGAGCTCGGTATACTCTGCAGCAATAAGCTTGAGGCGATTTTTCTATTATTCGTTTCTTGGAAAAGGTTGGAATCGCAGCTGGAAGCTGTTCCGATGCAATAGTTTAACGAACGATCATCATCCGAGGACGCGGGTAGAGCACACTTCAGATCCAGCGATAAACTCTGTTTCCGTTGGACAATCTCCTGAAGCTGTTCCCGAGTCCGTTTAGCCAGCCACAATTTCTTTTCCGTTACTCCTGCGTCAACCATCTAAAAATGCATAATGTAAGTACATTGTTTTTGTATAGCGCGTAAATTATTCGTATTCTATGCGCACATACTTCTGCCTTAAATATCTGCTTTTGTCTCTTTGCGATCTCCACGAGTTCTTCCTCCATCTTGTCCACCTTGCTCTGATGTTCATTCAGAGACCTGACCTTGCTCTGTAACTCGTTTTCCAAGGCAGCTAGCTCTTTCTTCTATTTGGAAAAATTATTTTTTAGAAAATAAAAAATATAACTGTAAGTTGAAGAAACTTGCTTAGATCTTTACTTACGTGATGATTAACTAATTCCCTGACGCTATCGATGCATTTTTCATCGTTGAGACTGGACCACGACTCGGGCAGACTATCGTCGCTACCGGCACCGTTATCCGTCTGAAATACATTTCACTTCACATTCTACAAACTTATATATTAAACCATTGAGATACAATTCTTAGATCCGATTCTTATTTATTCGCAATACAATCTAACACACACTCGGAATACTCCCATCATTTTATTTATTATTATGTATTATTCAGAAAAAGAAATAGTATAGTGTCGAGAAAAAAAATGGCGTGTGCGCGTGTGTGTTATGTCGTCTGCGCGATGATGGATTATTATAAAAGAAAATTATACGAAAAAATATATAATGCGAATATACATATATGCATCGCGTCATTTGCAATATGCGTGCACGTGATAAACTTGAAGTTACTCCGTTTCCTTTCGCGATGTAATGTTCTCACCTTTTCCCACTGATGTTGATGAGTTTGCGCACGTTCATGACTGTTTACGAGCTCTTGCAGCTGTCGATGCTTGGACTGCAATAATGTGCGCAGATAGGCGACTTCCCTACTGGTACCACACACAACACATACCGATACGTTAACAAAAGAGATAAGTAACCAAAGATAATTCAAAATCAAAGATGAAAAAACTGATTCGCTTCAACATATCTTTATATCGGAACGAAAAGTTAAATTAAAATTCTATGCCGCAGAGAATGAAACATTTATAGCTATACGAAGTAGCGGCTAAAGATTGATAAGAATAAAACACACGTCTTTTCATTTTTTTTCTTTTGTTGAGATGCGCAAGAATACCTGTTGCTCCAAACTGATTTATTGATAAATGAAACAATTTTAACGACATGATATGTAAAGAGTATATGCACTAATTTTATCCTTGTTCATATTTTTAGAGAACCCATTCAAGTAAATAAATTAAATAAATAAATTACAAAATATAAGTGAAACAAATAAAGAAATAGCAAGTGCAGTTTTTGCAATACGTGTTATTTCGAGAAAATTATAAAAGTTTTCCTCACCTTAATTAATTTTAGTATTCGAAATTGTGCGCATGCGGACGGATTTCCGAGGTGCGACGACAACGAGTTAATGAGAAACTGGGTTTGATAATCGGGAATATATCAAGTCGATCGAGTGCATAAAATCTTTAAAAATTATGTGAGAAACGGAGAGAAAAGACAATGAGAATGCGTGCGAATTGTTTTGTGGAGGATCAAACGCCACTTTTTGTATGAAAAATTTATTAATCAACAATATATCAGTATATAACAATAATTAGTTCTCTTCTATATTTTTATATCTCGCATAACAAACCCATATACTATCCCATATATCAACCCATATCTCTATACAAACAAGCCCAAAAGATATGTACATACGTTTCATTCTATAACACATTCTCTACTTAAATATACAACATTCCAAGGAATGCCATTTTTGTGTCCGGCAATATCTTTTCAGCACTAGCACTTTTTTGTATAATCGGCGGCTTATATATGTAACGTGTAAACACGCAATTTGTTAACACATGAACGATGTGTAAATAATACGTTAATTGTAAATAGGCGCAATATATCCGAGGATTCCTAGAAGGAATCGAAAAATAATCTCATATAAACACTCTCATATGGATAGCGAACGCAAGTCTCATCGCATGCACACGACGATAGGAAATAGAGCCTTCTATAGAAGATATGCACAACATATTGATAGGCCTGGTAGACATCGATAGACACAATACCGTGTATTTTAATCACAAGAATTTTGGTCTGGATAGTCGAAAATGTCGTTTCGCAAAATTAATTAATTGCATAGTCGAGACATTCGCAGATATTTGTTGGACGAATCGTGGCAACTCACACGTGTGAGACGAGAACGGGATATTACTATCGAGATATCACATGTTTAACGGACAAACGTGCGAGTAGATGATGATGTTGCCAGACAAGCAAATAAGGACAACGATAGCGACAAGGACGAGATAGAATTGATACTTGATCGAGATTACATTCAAGTCCGGAGGCGCGTCCGAGTCACTTACTTGTGTCATTTCGTCCCGTCGCTCTTGTTCCAAGAGATGTCGGCGCGCGCGCAGCTCACGTTGACGCGATTCCAGAGCCGCGATCGCGTCCGCCCATTCCTTCCACTGCGCGCCCCATTCGCGTTCCAATTCACGTTGGGCACCTTCCAGCGCTTCCCTCCTCGCGGTCCACCTCTCCTCGCGCTCCTCTTGTTCCCTCTGGAGAGGGAATACAATTACTTAAAGTTCAACGCGAAGAATCGTCGAGATACCTTACTTACGAACCTTGAAATCTTCCTTTTCCTTCAGAAGTGCGGCCTTTTGCTGTTCCAATTCCTCGACCGCCCTGAGATCCTCGCTCGAGTTCACGAGATTATCGCTGGAGCAAGAAGCATGCAGATCGGAGACGCTCCAGCTCAAGAGCGACAATCTCGATAGATTGACGACCGTCGATTGTAAATTGCCGTTACCCGAGCCGCCCTCTTTCCGGAGTTTTGCCGCCTCCGCCGGATCGTTGTATCGAAACATGTTGTTCCTGCCGAGGAGGATGATACAGCCTTGCGACAATCTCGTCGGCTTATCCACTTGGGCTGTGTTGATCCAACAATGAGGCGAGAGCGGATGCAGCGTCGCAACCCCGCTATCCAATTCGACTATGCAATGTTCCGATTCCACATCCGCACCGGTCAGCACAATGTCCTGTTTGTCATAATATAGTCGGTACTTGTAATTGTTTCGTTATCAATTAGCCCGAGGAAATGACTTTGATGATGAAAATCTTGCTTTTCATTTGGATTATTTATATTAGAGCAATTTAAAAAAAATAAAGGCCCAACTATAATCTCTCTATACTTTAATAATTTTATTAATAAAACTGTCAACACGTCAAGTGTGTGTCAAATATCTATTTAATTATTTATATTGTCACCTGGACAACGGAAGCTTCCTCTGTGCCGACTAACGTTTTTCCTTCTTTCAGATGATATAACGTGACGCCGGTACTGAGTAAATCGTCGTCGATACCGACCAGATGCGGCATTTCCGAATCGAGGACGACGCCGACTCCGCTTTTTCGTAATCCCAGCGCTTTTTGTTCCTGCAAAATTTGTTGCGTCTCTCGCCACTTTTCGGTCCATTCCTCGGTTAATACCTTTTCTTGTTCTTGCTTCTCCTGGATTTGAGCCAATAACACTTGCGGTGGCCTCTCTACGCTCTATAAAAAATACCGGTAAATATACATTTAATATCGCTAAATAATAAAATAGCGCAACTTGGAGAAAATGTGCGCCGCCAATTTCAGAATACTTGCCATATTCTTATCGATGAGGGACTTCAATTTCTCTATCTCCGCCCTGAGTTCCCTGATAAGCTTCACGTTCGCGTCTTCATTGATGGTCGGCTTGTTGATGATATTTTTCGCACGATTGGCATATCTGAGAGCGCTGAGAGTATCGTTGTAATTACATTCCGCCGGACTGATGGTCGCTATCATGATAGTCTTGGAATTGCCGCCGAGGGAATCCTTCAGGAGCCACGTGAGCACGCTGTCCCGATAAGGGATGAACGCATTTCGCTTCGAGGCGGACGCATCACCGCTCGCGGAACTTACTTCCGAGAGCGTGGATATCACAGTGCCTAAAGTCACCAAAGACTTGTTGATGTGCGCGCCTTCCTTCAGTCGCTGACCTGTCGCTCCGGTCGCGTTTGCACGCTCGCTAAAGGGAGAGAGGAAATGAGAGAATAGTGATTTTTAAAACACAGTCGCTTAAACACATTTATCGCGCGGTGTATATTGTGCTTTGTGCTTTTCTTTTTCAGTTTTCTCTCATTTTTGCACGGACGGATTGGAAAATAACTCGGCTTGTTCTCATGCTTTTCTTTTTCGAGACTACCTTCCGGCCAAGTCGACAAGGTGCACCTTGGAAACAGTCTCCGACGGCATGTTGCCTTCCGAGAGGCCGGCCTGTACGAAGGTTATCGTAAAAATCGCGTGACTCCTGCTACTCACGTCGTTCATCTTTGTGCTGGCCGTGGTCCTGTGCGTATTACCTCTCACCATGCATTCCTGAACATGAATAATCTGCCGTTTATTGATTTTGCAATGCGAATATATGTATACTCGTGCTTATAGTATGCAAAATTTATTTTATAATTTATTTTTATTATGAATTTCTCGTTTACTGAAATTGCAATACTAAAAAGTATTTCATGTGGAATATGATTGTCTGACATTTATTTTATAAATTAATTTTATAAATTAATGATATAATAGAAATTAATAATTACAATTACGACTTTCCGTTATTGTAATTTTTTTATAAATAACGTAATAGAGGTGGATAAATAATTCGCCTCATTAATGCGATTTTTTGATGTACCTGAATATCCGAATAATCATAAACGAGATGACACGACAAATCTTGGACGTAAGGCCCTCCCGTGGGATGTTCCCGTACCCTCAGCGAATGGGATTGGCTTTGATCCAGTCTGAGCAAGTCTCTCACTCTCTCATTATAGATTTCTAGGAACGATACTTCCGTTCTGTACGACGCTCCGCTCTCCTTTCCGGCTGCCATTCTAGCGAAGAGCTGCGCGATATGAAATAATAAATTACAAAACGAAAGCTGGACAGAGAAAGAAGAATTACATAGACAGTATCTCAATGTGTTGTATTTTTCTTTTCTTCAAAGATGAATAATTTTTGTTTAATTGTAATATGCAATATGGATACTGTTTGCAAGATTCATATAGGTTTGTACTATTTTTATGATTCCTTTAATTTTATTTACTTTTTCTTTTTTTTGTTTTATTTTTTTTTAATTTTATTTCGAGAAATATTGATGTTTTTGTAGTAAAAGTGACTGTAAAAAAATATGATCTTTTGACGAACTAGGCTTGCATTATACCGGTGTGCCCATCATTGTGAAGGTCTTTCCAGATCCTGTCTGGCCGTAGGCAAAAACGCAGGCATTGTAGCCCTCGAAGGCACTTTCTATTACGTCCGTACCAAGATCGTAGAAAACCTAAATACAGAAAGAGGATGATTGAATTAGCGTCTTTTCCTTATCGATCCAAAATGCAAAAGGGGCATCTTGCTTTAATGAAAAGAACGATTTTTATCGGTTATCATCCAATAAACGACCTACCATAACTAATTAGCCATATCATTAGCGTAGCAATCATATAATGCACATTTTGCATAAAGACATTTAATTAAATAATAATACCCTATGTAATGATTATACTCATACACAGGCCGGAACGATTATTGCAACAATCGCATATTATGTCGTTTCACACACAATAACAAGATATCATTCTATTTACTCTCTGCATTATGCTTGGAAGTTTTCTTTCATTCATAGGAACGTTTGTCAGAAATAATCAAGTATTAATATAGCTCGCGATATTATAATGAACAGCTGTTCGAATCGATGAGATCGATCTTACAATAATAATTGCTGCGCTTCGCAGTTATTTCTTTATATTTTTTATCGTATTATATACTATCGGCACAATAAAACTAACAGTGGAGTGTGAGCTTCGATCTTTCCATACGTTGTCGCGAATGTTTTGTGCGTTTTTACAATCCGATATTTTTATCTTTAATCGTGAAATTTTAAACAAGTTTTTATTTTTTTTTTGTTTCAGCTGGAAAAAACTTGACACGAACCTTTTCTTGGGATGCATAATTTTCGTCGTTCGGATCGAAGGACCAGTAGGAATGATCGAACGTGAAATCTTTGTACTTCCTCCGATCGATATCTCTGCAGCTATCCGGTGTCTGTAAACAATAAGTCGTTATTTCAGTAGTATCATCGTATCGTAGCGCTGGATTTCGTTATCGCCGCGTTCATGTTAAAGTTCAATCGTCATTAAGTCGAATAGAACGAACACTAGTGATTATTTCTAGGTGAGCAACAATTATATAGTACAATATAATCTGAATATGTATATATGAAACTATATAACTATATATGCTATTCACGGGAACACTCTATAGATTCATTCTTTTCAATTAAGCTTTCGACACTTTCTTTGTTTTTGTGCGGAAAATTACTGACTATCATTCAAATAGTCCGACTAACATTTATTCGCGAGAGCTAGCTATGCAATATTCATGATATAATACGTGCTCAGGCTGCATTCTACATAATTGATGAAACATTGTTGGAAATTTTGCACTATATTATATAAGAAAATGAATAGTAGATAAGTATTAATTAAAAGATAAAACCAGATAAATTTTCTCACATTTCAATTTCACTTTTACAATTCCGCGTGAGTCTTATGTTTATACGCACCACATTGTCGGAAAGCGATCTACTAATTTATATAATTGCATATGCAAATTTCTAAATCCCATTACATATGTAAAGTTTGAAAATTAGTTATTATGCACCTTCGCGTAAATCCCGATAAGTCTGACTGGTCAGCGCTTACGAGAGAAAAAATTTAAAAATGTAGCATAAATATTTTAAGATATATATACTCAATTTAAAAAATTTATAAAATTCTTAGTCGTATTATGATCTCGATGTCCATCATAATTTTTAATTTTATTAATATACAGTACACACATTATATTAATTTTCGCGAGCGTCAACCAGCTCGATTCATATCAGAAATCGATCAAGTGCGCTTTACGATCAAAGCTGCGCTTTAATTCGCGCTTGCTGAAGATTTTCTCGCCGAGAGCCATTACTCTCTGGCATAGGATTGGCCTTCTTCTTTGATTAGAACGAGAGATCGCCCGGATAAGGATTAATTGAATGCAGGTAAAACGCGAATTAATATTATACAAGGCTACAGGACGCGGCAATTGCTCGCTGCAATACGATTGCTGGTTGTTGCGGTCCAGCCGTGATTTTCGCACTTTCTCCTCACCGCATACCGTTATCCTTCAGCGCGAAGATTCCAATGGTCGTCTGTAACGAGACAGATCCGTTAAATGTGGTTGAAACATTTTTCTTTTTGTTTCATAAGTAACTCTCCACGGAAATTTATGCCCGCATAAATCAAAGGTAACAATGTAAGTAACTATTTTATGTTATAACTTTCTCCTTTTCCATCGTTTATTTTATAAAAGCCTCAATCTCAGCGAGTTTGTTTCAGAAAGAATCGAACAATCACCCGATTTTATTTTTAAAAAATCGCTCCTCTTTTTAATTATTCGTATAATATTTTTAATTTATATATAAGTAACGAGCATAATAATATTTTTTTTTCGAATGGTTTGCTCGAAATCAATCATCTAGTAAGCCTAACTTTGTTAGACAATAGCTTTCCGTGTTTTCGTTTCGATCAGAGATATTTGTCAGAGACCCATCGATTAAAGACTCATTTTAATAATTCAGACTCGGCAATTCAATCGAATGTCGAATTCATTCGAGCAGAAATTATGACACTGAACTCGCGCGACATTGTGCAGCTACAGTAAAAAATAAAAGATTGTCGCGTCACAAATATTCGTTTAGAAATCCTTTAGAAAGTCCATTTAAGGCCATTATTCCTTGGTACTCGCGGTGCCACAAATAAGCTCGTACATGCCCATACATATACATATAAATTATACATCTAACAGCATTGTTAATAATATAATGAATTAATTTTGTATTTTAAGCTTTTTTATATTTCAAGTCTAATAAGCTTTTAATGCATATATGGATTTATTGAAATCAAATTTGACCAATATTCGACATAATTTGCAGGACATCTTTAAACCAGAATTAAAATTGACAGATTACAATTGTAAATTGAAAATACGCGATTATATCGTGCGGAATTCAGGCTTGTGATATCGTACATTCGTCATACCGTCATAATACCGTTATATGGAATAAAATTTGATATCTCGCGATATGATCGTACGATAGAAAATTTGCGATCTCGGCATTTTAGAGAGGGTATGACAGTGATTCTGTGATGTAATCACGCTTACATCATACACGCGAACGGACCTTCAGTTTATAAACATAGAACCAAAACGCAAACAAGTGTGACAAGAACCATTTTTAGCACCGAAGGTGCACACGACAGGTTGATTTATTCGCCTACGCATTTCATCTAGCCATTATTTTTATTACTCGAACCCAATACAATCTTTATATTCAGTATTCGAAATAACTAAATGTAAACAGTAGATTTCAACAAATTAAGATTTTTTAAAATAATTTGAATAAAAATTTTATTAAACCAAAATCTACTTGAAAACTAAACACAGTGGATAATTTTCTGCATTATCCGGATTCTGCAGTATATTAAAAAACCTGGAATTTGTATTAATATGCAAAAAATACTCAGCATAAAAGAAGAAAATATTTATATTTCTAAAGAGGTAAAACATTGTTCAAAATTTAAAAAAATTTTTTTGAATAAAATATATCAGTAAAATGTTTAAAAAATTGATAAATAAAATTATTACCAAAAGAAACATACAAACACACGTAAAATAGTTAAGCACTCTTTCTGGATCGCAGAAAACTTTGATAATTTGTACCGGCTTTCCGCTCATACCATCTTCTTTCTTTTATTCGGGATATCTGATAGAGATTGCGATTTGTATACCTAAAAACGACTGTATTATGCTACGTAACGATTGCATGCGATCGTGAAACGAGATTGAAACCGGCTCCAGCGATTCTTGTGTCTTTTATTTTTGCGATCACGCTTCGAATATTTAAGCGGCGACGCAAACTTTCGAGTTCCGTAGGAGTGAAATATTACGATATCTCAATTATTAAAAAATTACGCACATTCCATGTGCGTAACGTTTTTTAAATGGAATAATAAATAAACAGATGTGACGTTGCATAGTTCGACAAGAAAGGAGGAGGGAAGAGAAGGCAATAGCGTGTACGCGAATTGTCTACCTTGGTATTGAAGATCCGCGTCCTCTTGCCGTCCATCTGTACAATCAGTTTCTCGTTCATCGCCACCTCCCTGCAATAACAACAACATGATACACATCCATTATCCGGCACACAATCTCCTGTCTTGATATTGTTCGGAACTTGAATACCACGAATTCGGAAATCGCCGAGACACACGTTCATTGGCCGTAATGCACACCAGTCGATACCACGATGACATAACTGTGTCATGTGCTGTCAATAACATCTGTTCAATATAGCGGCTGGTTTTAAGTGTTGCTGCCGCTTCTCCAACTTTTTGTATGACGAAGTAATTGAATCCGTCGATTTTAAACGGGACATTGCTCCGAAACACTCATATTTTTCAGAAAACATTAATGACACATTCGATATTATTTTTTAATACTATCTTGTAAAGATATTTTATTGCCGTCCTATTCCCCACCTCCCAGAATATATTTAATATTATCTCTTCCATTTGCAAAAAAAAAATAGAGTTGATACTAATTTTATGCATTTTCGATATTTTTACGATAAAATCCTAAAGTGAACAAAATCAATTATATGTCTTTAATAATATCTGTCTATCACACTCTTTCAGTACACAGTATGATTTGAAATAGAGAACAGTTAGGAATTTGCTCTTTCAAGCATTGTATACTGAAATGAGTTAAAAAATGTCAATAGAGAATAAAGAAAACAAAACAAATTTGGCAAAGAGAAAGAAACTTGAGATAAAATAAAGATGTGACAAAAATGAAAATCTAATAGATGGTCGATAAATCATTTATCTCTTATATATATTCGGCTTTAATTTTTTTCTGCAGATTTTATTTTATTCTTGTTTGCAAGAAGATTGAGCGTGCAACAAAGTAAGAGCGGCTAGATCGAATTCGAACGATGATGAGTTCATTGTCGATGACTTGGACCACGCGCGTGCATCAGCAGCATTCTTCATACTTATTGTCAGTAATATTGGACAATGATTCTGTCGCTGATAATATCCAATGATTAATACGTCGTCGTCGATGAGATGCTATTGACCGCAAATTAATTGCGTAATGGTATCAACTGGTACAGAGATACAAATAACATGAAAATCTATAGGATATATCCAAAGAACGTCTAAAAGAATCAAGACACTGCAATGTTTTTTTTTTTCTGGATCACTGAAAATGTCTTTGCAGCGAATTCGATTGATGCAACGCAGTATGCATTGAGACGTCCTAAATTTCATCTCGTTTCCACGAACTGATGTTAAAAATGCAAATATGTATGTACTAATACTCACAATCAGCGTAAGTCAACATATTGCTTTTGGAACTCATTCTACGGATCTCTATATAATCGATCAACACGTTCATATATATATATATATGTGTGTTATGTTTAATTAATTTTATAAGCGATGCATTTCTAGTCGAATTCGCGATCGCATCAGGCGAATTCGCATCCGAGGAGAATCGTCACGACGATCATTCGGATATTCCAGCACCGAATTGTTGGAGAGCACCGTCATCTCAAATCACACACGCACCTTTTGTTGAAGGGTCGAACTCTCACGGCCACCTTCACAGAAGCCATGGTTCCGCGAGGAGGAGCGCATGGGGCCAACGAAACAGGCGGTCGCTGTCACCCTCCTCTGCGGCGACGTGACGCGTCGAAGGGTCGTCTTCGGCACGCGAATAGTTCCCGACGACGCTACGGCCTACGGCGTTGCACGTTTACGGAAGACGCTGGCGTCCTCGTCGTACCTCGAATGCGTTCAGCAACAACGACATCGTCTCCTCCGTTATACACACGCTCGTGATTCACGAACGACCGCGAGTGACTGCTGACTGCTGTGCAGTCGCTGTACCGAGCGCCGAGTCGAGTCGGAGCCGTGTCGAGACTAGTGAACGCGCATGCGTGACTTCCTTGCAACTCGATTGCGAGCGGATTCTATCCACTCGAAGGCCGTTCAAAAGCACTGCGTCGTCTGGAATTATGTATAAGATATTCAAATTGATGTCTCTCTCTCTCTCTCTCTCTCTCTAACGTTAGAGAAAAAGAGATATATATATCGAAAGAGTGATATATACACCATATACCAAAGACAATATACAGAAAATCATATTCAGAAAAATACTGAATATATAAATGTATAGAATATAAAAAAACGAGACATTACAAATTTGATAAAAGGCAAATAAGATAAAAAGTCAAAGAGAAAATATCGGTAACGTTTAACTCTATATCGTTAGCAAAGTAACGTATAATTACCTTAAATATAAATGCGATATATCGATATTTCAATAAATTTGAGTCAATATTGATATCGATATACATCTGACGATATTATTGACGGATGCAATTCGGCGTAAAGGAGGGCATCGAGGAGGATAAGGGCGGAGAAGTGGAACATGACGTGGACCAGGGCGCTTCTCTCAAACAGGTTTATGCTTCCTTCGCGCAGTGACGTCATCCTAGCGGCCGTTTGCGCTCGCGCGAACGGAAAAAGCCGAGCCGCACCGCGCCACCCACGCCGGCTACGAGGAACGGTGGGGCAGGAGGGAAACGAGGCGGGAACCGTGATCGCTAAACCAAATCGCTTTGCGGTTTCTCGACGCGTAACGGCGGTCGCGGCGAGAATTCGCGTCGTCTTGTTGTCCAGCTGCTGGTGATTGCGCCTGATCGGGCATCTATCCAGGACCAGGTCATCTGTCCGCCAACTCGCCTGCTAAAAAATGTATAATGTAGGCGGCGAAGTACCAAAACGGAACCCGGAGCGAGAAACGGATGTTCGTTGTCGGACGCGCGTTGTCGTCACGTGTCACGGGTCGACAAACCTTTTCATATCCGGATAACACGCTTTTGCATATCTCTCGGAGCTCCAACTCGTGTTATACCTCTTGCGACAGGTGGTTGATTTTGATTTCCGAAGGAATCGTTGAAAAGAATAAAATTTTTCCACAGCACCCTCATTAGACATTATCAAAGCATTAATAAATCATTTTGCGGAGAAGGGACGATAACGGGGAAAATAAACTAGATATGCGTGTCTAATGACAATTTGAAAAATGTATTCTAACGTATGATTGGTTCAATCTTGTATGCGTGCGCATTTTTATTTCGATTTCTGAAGACGGACCAATCAGGCAGCTTTTCCGCGCGAATTCTAAATACGGCAAAGTGTGCGCGTATGAACGGGAGATTAATGAAAAAAACCGAGCACGCGTCGATACCTTCTTCCATTGTATAATGCGCATAACGGCGTACTTCACGCTTCCGAGAAGTCGTTTCTCGTTTCTTCTTTCGTTGTAATTTATCGCGCGTAACAAAAGATCCAATGACGAGGCGGAATTTTTTTTAAAAGAGATAAGGGTACGGGCTCTGTGTAAGTATATAAAACTTGCTTAACGGTTCCAACCGTAATAATTATAGATCTATAAAAACTTGATTATTTCAAACTAATTATTATGAAATTTAAACCGCTTCTTCGTTTTTTTAGGTATATGTAAAATACCGTTTTATGAAAGAATAAAAGAGACATATATATATGATAATAATATAAGTTTCTTAGAAAATTTGACTTTGGCTTGTAAGGAATTAAAATTAATTATAAAGATGTGTGAAAATATTTATCAAATAAATCTAGAAGTGATATCTTATAATTAGACAGGCAGACGAATGATAAATTGCGAGAACCTTGAAAAGCCGAGCAGTTACACGATACGTGTTTGCGCATAGCGATTATTCATAACCGATCGAATTGA